GTCATAGGGGGAGGTGAGCTCTTAATTTGTTATTATATATGCTCTTCAAGTCCAATTTGGCAAATCTCCCCTGGAAAGGCTAATGTTCGATACAGCCGGTCTGGGAAAATTAATGAGCAAATGCCTAGATTTGATATTTTTCGGAACTGAGAGAAGATGGCATCTGCCAGCTGCAAAGGACTTTTGGATTAATTCAGCATAAACACCAGCGTGTGAGGATATACAGCAAACAATAGGCAGAGAGTCAAGCAGACAATTTCACACAGAAGCGTATCATTGCTTACTTCAACTCGCCTGTGGAAACAACTCAGAGGCCATGAACGAAGGAAAGGTAACAACAGGAAGAATTAAAGGAACTATTGGAAACTCAAGGCAGTAGAGATATAAGATGATCAGAGCCCCACCGAACTTGAAGCATGGGAAGCCCCAATAAAAATTTATAATTTGGCGGAATATTTGGACTATATGATACGTATTTTTATAATTTGGAATATTTAATGTGATTTGATTGAATTGTTAAAATGGAAAATTTAATATATATTTTTTAAAAAGAGCAATAAAGAGTTAGAGTCAGACAAGAGAGGCCCTGGTTCCAATTTTTGGGGTGCTCACAGGGTGGCCTTCATCACCTCAGATCTACAAGGATATTGTAGAGCCGGAAAAGGCTCAGAAAAGGACACCCAAAATGAGCAAGGGAATGGAGTGACCACCCCCCCCTGCCAGGTGAAGAAACGCTGCAGTGTTTGGGACCTTTTAGTGAAAAAGCAAGAAAGAGGTGGCATGATAGAGGTTTATAAAATTAACCATGGCATGGAGAGAGTTGATGGAGAAAAGTTTTTCTCCATCTCTCATAACACTAGAACTTGTTGGCATCCAGGGAAGTTGAATACTGGAAGATTTTTATTGATATAATAAAAAATAATAAGTACTTTTTCGTACTATGCATAGTTCAACTATGGAACTCACTCCCGCAGGAGGCAGTAACTACAGTGGTACCTCGGGTTAAGTACTTCATTTGTTCCGGAGGTCCATACTTAACCTGAAACTGTTCTTAACCTGAAGCACCACTTTAGCTAATGGGGCCTCCCGCTGCTGCCACGCCGCCAGAGCACAATTTCTGTTCTCATCCTGAAGCAAAGTTCTTAACCCGAGGTATTATTTCTGGGTTAGCGGAGTCTGTAACCTGAAGCGTATGTAACCTGAGGCGTATGTAACCCGAGGTACCACTGTAGCTTGCTTTGAAAGACTTGGATACATTCATGGAGCAGTCCTCATTTTCCATCTGCAATCCTGAGACTGTAGAACACTGTCTGAAGTGGTTTCTGTCCTCTGTCGTTTGGACTCTTAATTTCATCTACTCTGGATATCCTCAAAAGTTTTTCAGCTGCTTTCTTCTTCTTCTTCTATATGAGGGAGCGGAGACACTTACCTGTTTCTTCATTGCTTCTGTTGCTTTCCCACAGAAATCAATACAATATAATTTGATGAAAAACCTTTAACTAAATGAACAAATCTCCCTCACCTGGCTCAGTCAGACAGTAGGAAGAAAGCTTCTCCATGCTGCAAAGCGACGGGCAGAACTTGTGCCTCTGTTCCTCTGTCCCAAAGGTGTCGATCATCCAATTGCACATGCTGCAGCAGCGACAACCACAAGAAAAGGCGTCACAATGCAGACCCTCTGCCTGAAGGCGGCCTTCCTGGCCAAGCCCCTCTGCCTCCCATTACTCACTTGTGGATGCTGATATAAGCTGTCGTACTGACACAGCCCGTCGACAGAGCCTCAAAGATGATGGAGGTGTCGAGCCGGGACAACCCAGAACCCCCCACGTCCGGCTGCACATAGATCCCACCAAACCCCAGCTGAGCTGCTTTCCGCACTGTCTCCACAGGGAATATTTCCTGCGAAGAGAGAGAGAGAGAGGAAACAGTTCTTCATTTGGGTTTTCGACAAATCTTGAGGTTTTGTTCCCCCCCCTTCTCTTCCTTTTCTCAAGGACAACTATTTCTTTGAAGCAGCAAGTGAACACCCACCGATCACAATATTGGCTTACTAACTGCTTGAGAGGAGCTAGGAGAGCCATCTTCGAATATCTAAAGGGCTGCCACATGGAGAATGGAACTCTGAACAGGATGACTTAAACCAATGGTTTTGAGTTACAGGAAAGGAGAGATTCCAGCTGAACATTAGGAAGAACTTTCTGAGGCTAAGAGCTGTTCGACAGTGGAATGGACTCCCTTCGGAAGGTAGTGGACTCTCCTTCATTGGAGGTTGTTGAACCAAGGTTGGATGGCCATCTGTCCTGGGTGCTTTAGTTGAGATTCCTGCATTGCAGGGGGTTGGACTAGATGGCCCTTGGGGTCCTTTCTGACTCTATGATAACATTTTAAAACTGTTATAAGCTTCTTAAAAATCACACGCATCCAAAATAAATTGAAGAACAGACCATGTGTCCAGACAGACCCACCAAAACAGATGTTCTTCAGCAGGTTTCTAAAAGAATATAATGATGGTGCTTACCGAATGTCAATTGGCAGAGAGTTCCAAAGTTCCAGGTGCTGCCACACAAAAGGAATTACTCCTTACAAATGTGGAGGGAACACTGTGTGGCTTTGAAATGATAAAACCTGATGCATACATACTAAAACCGCCACTGAGGTGCCTTTCAAAGCATAGGGTAACTTAGGTAAAGGGTAAAGGGGACCCCTGACCATTAGGTCCAGTCGTGGCCGACTCTGGGGTTGCGGCGCTCATCTCGCTTTATTGACCGAGGGAGCCGGCACACAGCTTCTGGGTCATGTGGCCAGCATGACTAAGCCGCTTCTGGTGAACCAGAGCAGCGCACGGAAATGCCGTTTACCTTCCCGCCGGAGCGGTACTTATTTATCTACTTGCACTTTGAGGTGCTTTTGAACTGCTAGGTGGGCAGGAGCAGGGACCGAGCAACGGGAGCTCACCCCGTCGCGGGGATTCGAACCGCTGACCTTCTGATCGGCAAGTCCTTGGCTCTGTGGTTTAACCCACAGCACTACCCGCATCATAGGGTAACTTACCGGTGAATAAACAAGCGCTACCACTCAGAAGCCAGGAAAGGTCACCTTTAACATTTTATGTTTGCTAGTGAGTAGCAGAAGCGAGCAGCCCCAAGCAAACAAACCAATCAGCAATCGCAAACAGCGGCAGGCTTTCCCCACCTGCTCTCTTGGTAGGGCACTTAAGCATTGTCGTCAGATCTGGTATCTACACACCTAGTGGATTTCTTACCTTTTCATCCCACTCAGCCATGTGGGGGGCCATCTCTTTGGCAGCAAAGTCAAAGGCCACTTTTTGGAACTCCTTCTGCTCCTCGGTCAAACCCACTGTGGCTGGGAGGCAGAAGAAAGGGGAGAAGCTTTCAAAGCAGAGACAAGGAAAAAAAGGAGGAAGAGATCCTCCAATAAACAGGTCACTTTAGGTTAATGAAAGTAATATTTATTGCTGCATGCCACCCAATCTCCAAGTAGTGCGAGGTTCCAGGCGCCGACCCAGGGTTTGGAGACAGTAGAGACTGTGGTGTCTTTATGATATATGGTTTATTTACACATATACACAAGCTGAGCCTACGATGGAGGGAATCACACCACTAACACCCCAAGGAGGTCTTGCTCTTCCCTTGGCCATAGTTTGGATTTAAACAGAAATCAGGCATGGCTCTGACTCTCAGCAGCCCAGCCTACTTCTAGATTCTCGCTCTCACACACTCTATTTTAGCTTTTGTCCTTCTCACCAGCCAGTTAAGGGACAGGGGCACCCATTTTCCCTCTGGCCCAGAGCTGCTTCCGTGGTTACCTTAATGACATACTTAAGCCACTATCTCGCCAAGAAACTGGCCTGACTACTCCAGCAACTGAATCCTTGCCAGGTCCAGGAATTAGAAGGGGACTTGGGGATACGGCCCAACTCACAACATTATTTATTTGGAGCATTCCTGCTTTGCTTCTGAAACAGCTTGCACACAATCAGCTAAAACAAGACAAGTTCTCTGCATGCAGGCTTGCAATTCAAAAGCCACGGCACAGAAGGAAAAAGGGGCAGGGAGAGGGGGGTTGGATATGCCAATTGTTAAAAATTAAGTAATGGTTCTTGTAATGAATAACTGGAATGGCCTCATAGAGCTGATGGAATGAATTCTGCTTCTCATCTCAGCACATGAGGAACAATGGGGAAAGCCACAGCTCACTGCCAGAGCATCTGCTTTGCATGCAGAAGGCCCCAGATTGAATCCACAGTGGCATCTCCATGCTGACTGGGATCAATTGGGAGTTGTGGCCCAACAGTATTTGGAAAGCCAGAACCAACCTCCCACTCCAGCAAGAATCCTTCTTAATAGCGTCATTGCAGACAGAAGTCCAACAGAAGAAGCATGACCCAAACAGCACACCCCCGAGCTGAGAACGGCAAGCAACCTCCCCTCCGATCATCTCCGTGCAAAAAAAAAGGAAGAATCCACTGCTGTAGCAGAATAGTTGGCAGGAGTTCAACCGGTGGTGGTTTCCTCCCGGTACATTACCACGCGGTGGCCAACGCAACCTGTTGGATCTCTGCCTGCCGCACCTCCGCTAAAGGCAAGGGAGTCCGGCTGTTTGCTTTCCCCCCAGCTAACAGACGAACTCCGCTCTTCCCCAGAGGACTGTCCCTAACCCGAAACAGCAGCCTGTTAGGTTATCTCCCCTTAATCTTACGGTCTATGCAGGAGGCGATGTCTCGGCGCCCCCATGCGTGCCTCCGTCCAGGAAGCCTCCTCAGTTGGGTCCCCAGCCTGCAGCAGACTCTCCAAGCCATGGCCAGCACCACCTAAGTCGCCCGGGCAGGTGAACGAGGTCCGGGTGGCCGCTCTGCATTGTGGGAATCGTTGTTCTCAGCTCCACACGCTGCCGTTACTTTTCTTTCTGGCTCCTACCCAAGAAGACTACAATCCCCAGAAGCCATTGCAAAGGGATTGCCCGGGCTTCTGGGGTTGTGGCGTCTTTTTCTCCCCAGGGTTCTCCAGCTGTTAGTTCTCCGATTGGCTGCAAAGCAAGGGGCCGGTCTTAAAGGCATAGCTGCGGTTTGCAAAACGAGTATTTAACCTCCGAACCAAACAGGCATTTAGCAGCGGAAGCGTTTCTGAATTTTTTTTTATTGCAACCAGGCGCGCCAATTTCTAAAGCTGGAGAGACAGAAAGGACGCTATTAAGAGGAAGGAAAGTTGGACAGTCGCATATCTGTGCCACCACGGCACTAATTTTACAGGTACAGGTGGGTTCTATTCCCTCCTTATGGTCTTTAACTTTTGACGGGCTTTTATTTAATACATGTATAACGCTCTCTTACATTTTGGGAGCAAAAAGGCAGCACTGATTGTTCTCCCTGCCCCCCTGATTTAATACTCAACAACACCCCTGCGAGGTTAGGTTAGGCTAGGTATCTTCAACCTTTTCAAACCGAGGACTGACCAAGGAGAACCGTTTCTTAATCATTTACCATGTATTTTCATGGTGGTAATGCTCCTGTTGCAGCCTATCTTGAATCAAGCTTGTGACCCATCACTTGAAGACCAGTGGGCTGAGATAAAGAGAAAAAGCGGCCTTTTGATAGCAGAAGTGGGATCTGAGCCTTGATTTTTTCCCCCAGTTCTGGAGTGATGGAGGCACTGCCAATCAAATAGAAAAATACATAGGAAGCTGCCTTATACTCAGTCAGACCACGGATTCATGTAGCTCAGTATTGTCTACACTGACTGGCAGCAACTCTCCAGAATTTCAGGCATGAAACCTTCCCAGCCCTACCTGGAAATGCCAGGGACTGGACCTGGAACCTCCTGCATGCATAGCAGAGAGGCTCTGTCACTAAGCTCCAGTCCTTCCCCAAGTCTTACCACTCTTGTTGCGCTTCTTATTAATGAATCATAGAATTGTAGAGTTGAAAAGGAGCATTAGGGTCATCTAGTCCAACCCCCTGTAATACAGGAATCTTTTGCCCAACGTGGGGCTCAACCCCATGGCTCTAAGATTAAGAGCAGGCATAGGCAAACTCAGCCCTCCAGATGTTTTGGGACTACAACTCCCATCATCCCTGACCACTGGTCCTGTTAGCTAGGGATCATGGGAGTTGTAGTCCCAAAACATCTGGAGGGCCGAGTTTGCCTATGCCTGCTTAAGAGTCTTGTACTTTACCGACTGAACTATTGATGTAAGAGCATATTTCCTGCTTTGCTTTCTCTTAAGATTCTTCCTCCCTTCTTCTAGGCAGCTGGATAAATGCCTCCGAAAGGGAAGAAAAGAGGCCGAGCAGCCTTGACAGGTCAGTGGGGGAGTCAGGCTCAACCAATATTATCCAGAGTTCAGTTTACTTAAAAAAAGTAAAAACTAGTGCTAAAGAAAGAGACCAACTTGGGCTGCATCTTCTTTGTGCTGCTCTTTTTTTGGCTATGTACACACTAAGGGATGTTGAAATGTGAGCTACTCAGCACCTGTAGCTAAAGATTTATATCAGGAATAGGGAACCTGTGGCCCACCAGAGGTCGCTGGACTACAGCTCCCATCATTCCTGACCTGTGTTGGCTGATGGGAGTTGTAGTCCAGCAACATAGAGAGGGCCACAAGTGTCCTCTCCCCCATTGAATGATGGATTTGATAGCTAGCCTATTTCTCTGACCCCTCTCCTGCCCAGTATGTCTGGTTTCACTCATCCCTGATCTCGCCCCCCAAAACGCCCTCTCGCCTGTCTGATCCAGCAGCCTTGCAAATAAGGCTGCAAAGTTACTAGCCTGCCAAGCAAGTTTAGTAGGTGCTAGCAGCTTGCAGAGGAGAAGCAATGGATGGATCTCTCTCTCTAGCACCCTGTTTCATTAGCATTGTGAGTCAGGAGGAAAAGGTCTCTCTTCCAGATATACCTGGAAAAAACAGATTGAGCCACGGACCATTTACATGCAGTCCCTCTCTTATAAGAAGCTGCCTTATACCAAGTCTGAGCATTGGTCCATCAAGCTCAGTATTGCCTACACTGACTGGCAGTGGCTCTCTGGGGTTTCAGGCCAGAAGTCCCTCTCAGCCCTACTTGGAGATGCTGGGGACTGAACCTGCAACCCTCTGCACACAAGGCAGATGGTCTACCACTGAGCTATAGGGCCCTTCCTCTTCACTTGCCTCCCAGGTCTGTGGCTAAAACCCCTGCCCTGAGCATTTGGAATGTTCCTATGTATTTCATGACCTCACAGCAGCACAGCCAATGACAAATGCGTCTAGGAAGTAGCAAGCAAGCAGCTGCTGGTAAATGTAAATGTGCTGTGTCTGAGCACAAACAGGAGAAATCAGCAGACGCTTCCAGCAGGCAAACCACAATATCTAGAGATGGACATTGTGCATCCATTTCTTCCCAGTTACTTATGAATCATTTTCCAAAGTGACTTTTTAAAATAGATTAGCTGAAGCCCACCAAGCTGACATTATTCTTTGCTCCCCTTCCCACTTTCCTCATGTCCTTTCAAAATTCATCTTCCAAATACCTGTGGTATGCTATGAATTCTTTGGATCCTTCAAGCTCCAAAAGAACCTGATTTTAAAGATGCCAGATCTGAGCTGCAGGGGGAGAGCAAGAGACCCAAATCGCAGAGAGTCGAGATGAAAAGCCTTGCAACCGGAAATGTTGCGGAAACCTCCGGGGTAGAAGCCCGTGCTGAGCAGGACAGAAACAAGAGAGTCCACACCCATTGGCTAATGAAATCTGAACCCGAGAGCAGGTTTGAGAAGGGTGTAGATGTGAAGGTAAGCAAGCCATCTTCTATGGGAGACGTGTGCATTTCGCTCTCGCTTTTATTATTCTCATTAATAGTTTTATGTAGTAATTACACACAACAAACATAACAATCCCAAAGAAAAAATAAAAACAAAAGGTTCTCTTGAACCTTCAGACTACCCTCCCTCCCTGGGTTACATTTAAAAAATGTATTCCTGCATATTTTACTGTAATCTATCTATTATATGTCCAGAATATCTAAAGTTCATGTTACTTTACAAGAGTTATTGTATTCCTGCTAATGATTTCAACTGCTTACAGTGGTCCCTAAGATATGTTATAAAATTATTCCAGTCCTTAATAAAAATTTGGTCTTCCTGATTTCTGATCTCTCCCATCATTTTTGCCAGTTCGGCATAGTTCTTCAACTTGGTCTGCCATTCTTCTCTGGTTGGGACTTTATCTTCTTTCCATTTCTGGGCTAAGAGCATCCGTGCTGCTGTCGTCGTGTACATAAACAGTCTTTTCTTCTCTTTTGGTAATTCCGCACCTACAGTTCCTGACAAAGCTTCTGGGATGTTTTTTTTAAACCAAAGTTACCTTAAACGGGTTTTTTTAAAAAATTCATTATATATCATTTCCCAGAACTCTTTTACTACCCGACATCTCCACCACATATGGTAAAAGGTGCCTTCTTTATTTTTGCATTTCCAACACACATTTGAAGCAGTTCTATACATTCTTGCTAGTTTACTAGGTGTCAGATACCAGCGGTCCATCATTTTCAAATAATTTTCTTTCAGTGTATAAAAGGTAAAGGTAAAGGACCCCTGACAGTTATGTTCAGTTGCAGACGACTCTGGGGTTGTGGCGCTCATCTCGCTTTACAGGCCAAGGGACCTGGCGTTTGTCTGCAGACAGTTTTTCCAGGTCATGTGGCCAGCATGACTAAGCTGCTTCTGGCGAGACCAGAGCAGCACACGGAAATGCCATTTACCTTCCCGCTGGAGCAGTACCTATTTATCTACTCACATTGGTATACTTTCGAACTGCTAGGTTGGCAGGAGCTGGGACCAAGCAATGGGAGCTCAACCCGTCGCAGGGATTTGAACCACCGACCTTCTGATCAGCAAGCCCAAGAGGCTCAGTGGTTTAGACCACAGCGCCACTCACATCCCTATTTTCAATGTAAAGGAAGCTGTAAATTTTAAATCGTCTTTCCATAACTTTTCCCATAATAAAAGCTGTATATTATAACCAAAATATCATGCCTAGTGTAACATTACAGATTCACTCTCTGTCTATCTGTCTGTCTGTCTCTCCCTCCCCGAGGGACTGCTCCATCTGCACGCTCTACTCACCAACCCCTTCGCTCCTCACACCTGACCAACCTCCCCTTCCTTTATATCTCGCCCGCCCCAGAAATCACCCCAAGCCCCTCGTGCCTCACTTAGGGCAGACCAAACCTTTCAAAACTGCACAGATATTTTTTTTTGGGGGGGGGTCTTAGAATTCCCAAGCAACGCCAGGTACAAACGAGGCTGCCAGTAATAAATGCTGAACTTATTTTTTCTTTTCTTTTTTAAAGGCACAGTTAGGCATTTTGGGTAATGTATGTTTATTTTATTTTATTATTCAGTTTGGCATTGAAGATTTAAAAGCTCAACCCAATCAGACAGCATGCTGGGACGGAATCAGGAATTACCAGGTAAGTAAAGTCAACTGTAGCAACGGCATTGATCAATAAATTTATTCTCACAAAAAAAAGGGGGGTTTCTGAGCAGCAAATAGCTATTCTGGATGGATGTGATACTGCGTAGATCCTAATCAACTTGCCTTCCAATCAAAGCTTACAGTGGGAGAACACAGATATGCTTTGGCACTTAAGTTCTGCTGTCCATTTCCACCTTTTATTTTTGCCCGTGCTGTTGATATTTAAGACTAGTTGTGTTGCAAATTCAAACCATACTTTCTAGCATTGATGAGAATGAGCCTAGGCTGGGATGTGTTTTTGAACTCTGATGATGTTCCGTGCTTGCCTGGATGGGAGAGGTGAATGTGTCGAAACTAGTCAAGCAAAGAAAGGTAAAATCCACATATTTTGCTCTGCCCACTCTTACCTCTGGCCCCACCCACCACTGGCATGTGGCCCCTGGAAGGCTTCCCAGAAGAGAATGTGGCCCTTGGGCTGGAAACGGTTCCTTTTCTCTGGGTTAGCATGACATCTGGATTGACGAGTAATGGTTTATAATCAGCTAGCAAACCAGAACCGGAAACCATGGTTTCTTATCCATTGTTGGCTCTAACTATGGTTTGGTGCAATGTCTGAACTGACAGATCACAGTCCACCTTTTGCTTTGCCAGCTCCCTGGAGACCAGGGTGCTGAGGAGGTCCTGTGGAAAAGGAAAGCGATCAAATAGTTCTAAAACTATGGTTTGCTTGTCTGTGAGTTTTTGCTCCCTGCATCGAGTTCTAAACAAGGGTTAGCACAATCCATGGCGTAATATAACTGAACTGAACTTTGAGTCCCCTGCTTACCTCGCATCCTCTCCTCCAAAATATGAGGCATGGTGGCTATAGTGCTAATTACCTGCAAGGAGATACGTATTATCTGTAGCGCTTCTGTCTGGTGGTGTCAATAAGCTGATCCCTGCTCTTCTGTTTTGGCAGGCACGGAATTTCCTGAAGGATATGAAAGCTGGCCAGGAAGCCTTCTTCTATCACAGCAACTGTAAAGAGCCCGGGATTGCTGGCATCATCAAGGTGAGAGGTACCAGGGGTGGTTCACAACTGTGTGAAATAACAATATTAAAACCCATTTAAAACAAATTAGTCTCAGGAATAGGGGTGGCTCCCAAAAATAGACATATATCTTAGGTGTCAAAGAGAAGTGCATCTACAGTGTACAATGTGTGTAGTTGCTAACAGAGGGTCTGCAGGGAAGGAGATGGTCTTCCAGCTATTTGGGGCCTAAGTCCTGTTGTTACAGAGGAGAGCTGGAAGTTCTGATACGGAACATACAGTTGGCAAATTGCCTCAAATTGCAGTCTTTTTCAGTTGAGTGGGTCGCACATTTGGATGTGAGTGCCAAGTCACAAATGCTGATGACTGATCTCAAAGCAGTGTCTACTCCGTGGCTACTCTCAGTTTGCGAGTCGTGTTCTGGTTGTGCTTCTCTCCCAAATTCTAGATAGTGAAGGAGGCGTATCCCGATCACACCCAGTTTGAAAAGAAAGATCCTCACTACGATGCTTCCAGCACCAAAGAGAAACCCAAGTGGTTCATGGTAAGATTGGTGTTGCTTGGCAAATGGGTTTTCAAGGATCGGCTCTGGTTAGGCACGGCTGGCTCCGATCTCATTATGCGTATACCAGGGTTAGGGAAATTCTTTGGCAGAGCAACAGACTTGACTCTTCCTTCTGCACGCCAGCCATGCAGGAGTCAGTTTTCTAGACAGAGCACACAGGGCCATCTTAACCATAGGTGCCAGGGGTGCAGGGCACCGGGGCACCGGGCTCTCAGGGGCGCCAGGCCGAAAGTCTGGGGCCCAAGAGTTGGCATCCGGGGAAGAGCCCACCTGTCAGTCGGAGCGCCATGGCGGGCTCTTCTGCTGCAGGCAGCTCTGTGCTACGAGTTCAGGGGCAAGCGAGCCAGCGAGACATTGAGGTGGCCAGCTGGCTCTGCCCTCCTGCATGCCCTGGATTGGCACAGGACCATGGAGAGGCCCGTCCAGCGCATGCTGCTTATACCATGAGGCGCCCGGCTTCACTCAGATGCCGATGCCTCGGGCTGGTTTGTTGCGCTGGGCTCCTTATGTTTCCTGTTTTCATTTCCTGAGCAGAGATAAGTGTGGTGTCAGCAACCTAAAAAAAGGTTGACAACTTTGGGGAACCTTTCCTTTAAAAAGGTCAACAACTCTGGGCAACCGGGGGCAGGGCGCCAGGCGGACCTTTGCACCCCAGCACCACGTATGCTTAAGACGGCCCTGAGAGCACAGCTCTCTGTATCCTCCATCCAGGCTAGCGAGAGGCGTCGCTTGCAGTCCAAGGACACATTCCAGACAGGCAAAAGCATTTGAGGAGGCTGTGGAACAGTGTCAGGAAGGTTTAGCCTGGGGAGAGGCCTCATATGGATATACGGTGGGTCACATTTGACCCTGAGGGGCCTGGCGATTCCCCATCCCTCGTGTCAAAGACGGAAGTGGGACAAATAATGCTCCTTTTGTTCCTCTTTAAAACAGCCACAAATTAGTTATTTTTGTATATGTGGGCTTGTAAAGAAGGCAAATGGTGCATTACAAACTTGTGGGGTTTTTTTGCAAGGCTGAAAATAAATCTCCTTCCATTGCAGTAAGTCTCTCAGCTAAGTATATCTCGCACATGATATATACTATCGGCCTCCTTTTCTAAAGCATTAATTAATGGATGCTTTTCTTCCAAAAGAGGGATGTTTCGAGCAGTCTTCTACTCCTACTCATTCTGCTTAATATTTCACATCACCCAGCCAGATGCAGAGACAAATCCTTCTATTTCTCTCTGAGCTTCTCTCATTCACAGTGTTAATGACTCTTCACTCACTTTTGAATAAGTAACTGCTCTGCACAGCCGGCAAAGAGGAGGCAGAATCTTCCTGCAAGTGCCTCACGATGCCGGATATCACAATCTTGCCAGCTGCAATTCTGCAGGTAGAAGAGCAAAAGTTGCAGACCCAAAGGTCCGACTCCCTTCCCTGACGGATGCTCCTTCCTTTGTGCTTGCAGGTGGACATCCAGTTTATGCGAATGACCAAGCGGTTCATCCCTCTGGCCGAGCTGAAACTTCACCACCAGGCGCACAAAATCTCCGGAGGGCCCCTGAAAGATGCGGCTCTTTTCACCAGGCAGAGGCTCTCGGTCCAGCCGCTGACGGATGGTAAGACTGTTTGCCGCTTTGCTAGATGTTCACCTGCACTTTTGCATCTTCAAAGCATCACTTGATGCAAGGGATGGCAGCTCTTCCCTATCCTGCCAACCAAAACAACAATAATAATAACCCAAATCAGGCTGCCCAGCCATTCAGCCCTTGGAGGCTAAAGATGCAGGAATGCTTAACTCGTACCCCACCTTAGCTTTACCTGCGTTTTAACTTGCCGGGTGCCCCCATCTTGGGGAGAGCATAAGAGCAGCCGTGCTGGACCAGGCCAGTGGCCCATCTAGTCCAGCAACATGTTCTTACAGTGGTCAACCTGATACCCCAATGGGAAGCCCCAAAGCAGGACCCAAACACAGGAGCACGTTCCCCTCTTGCAGCTTCTGGCAACCTGGGACTCAGAAGTGTCACAGTCAAAACAGGTGGGGCCTGTGTCCTTGGCAAAAGACTTTCCTTATCCCAGGTGCCTCCAGATGCTGCTGAACTTCATCTCCCACCCCCTGCAATCTGTGGCTGGTGGAGTCCAACATCTGGAAGGCACCAGGATGGCTACCCCTTCCTTATCACACCTTTCTCTGTTTCCTTTTAAAGAGCAGTTTGCATTCATTTTGAGCCTGGAAGAGGAAAAGCACTGAGAGATGCACCAAATTGCTATCGCTTTGGCTGAGCTGATGCTGCAAAAAAACCAACCCCCCAAAAACCAACCCAGTTTGCTCCTGAACAACAGTGTGCCTTTTTAACTGGAGAGGTGAACTTCGAAACCCACCAAAGCCCGGTTATAGCTGCATTTGTTATCTGTGGCCTTCTGTTTTGTCTGCTTTAAATTACATTTTTAATATATGTGTGCCTATTTTTACCAAGGAGTCTTTTTACCAAGGAGTCTTTTACCAAGGACCCTTGAGGTGGCTTATGCATACAAAAATTCCATAGTTGGTACAGCGGAAGTCAAGAGCTGATAGCTGGTGCAGTCACCGGGATGAGAATCTGCACCTTAAAGTAAAAAGGGGACATGATTCAGCGCCAGCCAGCCACCTGGCCAAATAAGGAGGTCTTAACAGGTGTAGAACACATGAGATGTGGCTAGCAGAACCTCTGTTGCAGGGCATGGGGCTGGGTACGCACCGTGCCTTTAAGGCACATTCTTTCCCTCAAAGCATTCTGGGCACTGTAGTTTAAGGGTTGCTGGGAACTGTTCAGTCTTGTGAGCTCTAAACTACAGCACCCAGAATTCTTTGAGGGGAAAGAATGGGCTTCAGGCATGTTTTAAATGTAATAGTGCCTATGCATCCTCAGCTAATCAGGTTGGTTCTTGTGTCAGTGGGTGGAACACAGAGAGGACTTTCTTTTCTGACTGCTGACCTGGAGCTTAATGGTGGGTCTTTGAGTAGCACCTCTGTGGATGATCTTTGGGCCAGCGAGCTTTCTGCAAGACGAAGACCCTTCAATGTGCTATTTTCAAAGGGCAGAACAAACGGCCAGACATATAAAGCACAGGCTGAAGGGGTGGCGCTGTGGTTAAAACCTCAGCGCCTAGGACTTGCCGATCGTCAGGTCAGCGGTTCGAATCCCCGCGGCGGGGTGCGCTCCCGTCGTTCGGTCCCAGCGCCTGCCAACCTAGCAGTTCAAAAGCACCCCTGGGTGCAAGTAGATAAATAGGGACCGCTTACTAGCGGGAAGGTAAACGGCATTTCCGTGTGCTGCGCTGGTCGCCAGATGCAGCTTGTCACGCTGGCCACGTGACCCGGAAGTGTCTGCGGACAGCGCTGGCCCCGGCCTCTTAAGCGAGATGGGCGCGCAACCCCAGAGTTGGACACGACTGGCCCGTACGGGCAGGGGTACCTTTACCTTTTTAAAGGTCACATCCAGCTAACGTAAAGACTAGAATTGGATAGAAGCCTAATTTAAGTGTTACTAGATTCCAAAGCCCTAAGCTGCAACCCCATAACATCTGGAATGCCCCTGAGTATATGTGCAGTACTTTTTATCCTCCCCCTAATTACCTACACCCCACAGGCATGGGTGCAAGGCTGGAAATGGAGACTCTCAGGAAACCCTGGATTTACTCTCCCACCCTACTTTTGTGGTTTTTTAAAATCGTTTTTAGATGAATAGAAATATCACACAACCCAAGAAAAATAGCTTGACGCTCAACCTTTGAAAGCCTAGAATGGCTTCTTTTTTAATTGGGAGAACAACCTCTCATCATTTAAAAATACAACCATTTAAAAGACAATGAATTAAGAAACATGTAAACAATGCAGAGGCTTAAATTTACAAGTTGCCCAGCTTAATTCAGTACCTGTGGATTCCCCACCCACCCATCCCTGCCAGAGCGGGGCAGTCAGATCCTCGTGGGTGGTCTTTGCTTGGGATTTTTTTCCCTTCTCTTGTGTCTCACACTGGAGATGAACGTTAAACATGGCTTTTTCCAGGGATGGCTAGATGCAAAATGGGTATGGACCGTACTCTAGAAGGCTTAGTAAAAACTGAACCAGGGTGTATGATGTACCTTACAAATACACCGGCGGTTCTATGCTGCACAGCCCCAAGCTGCCTGCATAAAATTATGCAAATCAGCAAACTACTTTGCATAATTTAACACCCCCCCCCCCCCGTTTTTAATAATGTACTACTCCTAGTCATGGGGAGATGAGCACTTGTGCCTTGGCTGAAAAAAAATACTGGATATTGTCTAACTAGCACAAAATTCAGGCTTTTACAACGGGGACTCCTTCCCCACACTCCCTGTTTGTTTTGGGGCACTACTGGAGATGTGGGAAAGGGGGAAGGAAGCCCCCCTGCACAAGCAGAATTCTTTGTGCAGGTGGGCCATGTTATTCAGCGCTACTTTGGAAACAACCCTTTATTTGGCCCACCCTCTGGCTGCTGTGATCTCACCAGGGACTTGTAGTACAGCTGGAAGCATAACTCTTCAACCATTCAACATGAGAACCATTTGCCCTGTCATAGGCTTTTTCTTTTCGGAATGAAAACTTATGGTTGTCGAGAAACTTGGTTCTCCACCTGTTACATCTTGTGATTTGTGCTTCCATGATAATGTGGGGCATATATTGCTCTGGACCCTTGGCCTGGAAAACAAAGAACACACCCCCCCCGGGCTCTTGAGATCCAATGCAAAGTTCTTTCAAGTACCCCCTCATGCAGTTGGTACGGGTCACAAATTGCTGTGGTCCAATAAAGAGCAAGCAGATCCAGACAGAAGCCTGAATGCTAAAAAGCTTCAAAACCACTAACCTATATCTAATTCCAGCACATATTATATGGCTTTACAAAACTAAGAATTCATCACCAGCTGTGGAGGGGGTTTGTCTTTTAGGTCCGAACAGCCACCAATCATTATGTGCAGCTGGAAAACATTTACACTCCTCACTTTACATCTCCAAACAGGGAGAAACCTATTGACTAAGTATCCCCTAAATAGGCAGAAAACAGCCTCACAGCAGGAATCACCCAACAGCAGGCCAGGAATGATCACCAGAAGCTGGTTAAAAACTATGAAGATGGTTTCACTGCTGTTCTGGCACAGCAAAGGAGCTGTTGCACACAAGAATGAGGGGTGGCATAAACTTAGGAGCAGCACCAAGCCTGCTTTGTGGTGAGAGCCAAAGCATCATCTCTCCCCTTTGCGGACCCAACACATTTGGTGTTTTGTTTCAGCCTGGTTTCTTCTTGGTGGAACATCCTTGGCCTTCATATGTGAGATGCCAGTTCTTCCCCACTTAATGTCCCCACTTCCCAAGCTCTGGGAAAGGGAACCTTTGGTCCTCCAGACATTGATGGAAGGAGTAGTTCAGCAACATCTGGAGGAGCCACAGGTTCTCTGCCAACCTAGCAACGTATTTGTCTGATTCTAAAACCTTCAAAGTAGTAGACAGCAAGCATTAGCAACAAAAAAAACTTGAGAAGGGGGGAATGTCCCCATTAGTTACAGCTGTCAGAGCATTGGTTTCCTGTCTCTGTGACGTAAGAGAATTGGCTTTGAAATCTTTGCTCCAACATGTGATCCACTGGTGGGGGTATGGGTGTGGCTTGTAGCTCAGATAGCCAACTTTTTGTCCTCCAGATATTTTGGACTTTAGCTTCCATCATCCTTACTGGCCATGCTGGCTAGGGGAGATAGGAAATAAAAAGTTTAGCCACACCCAGAGGGCACCAAATTGGCTATCCTAGGCATACAGCTTCCATTCCCAATCTGTCCAAATGGGGGTTAATAGTGACCTATCTCATAAAGGTGTTGTCAGAATAAAGATAAGAATGTTATTTGCATGGATCCCGCTAGCTAGTACCAGATTCTGTATCTCTGCAATATAAAAAAATTGTAAGGATGTCATCATGCTATAGTTCTCTTGGCTACAGCCAGATGGTGATGAAAATGACAGTGTGACAAGCAGCTGCTCAGGGAAAAGGGGGGGGGGGACTGGAGGGTGGAGATTCCAGCAGCCCAGGCAAGGTGAGGGAACCAGAAAATGGATACATAGGCAGTGGGTGGCACAGATGAACCATGGAGAGGAGGGATTTTTTTGGTGATGTGTAAAGGGAGGGAGGAAGGTTGGCAGGTGAAGTGAGCAAGGGCACAGCCCCTGTTTAAAAATACATTTGCAGCAGTATTCTTCAGAATACAACTGCCAGAGAATATGGTTTTATGCTCAAGCAGGACTGCAAGATCTACCTACACTTTACAGAAGGCATTGTATTCTCTCCCCACCCCCGCAAGCAACACACAATCCTTGAACTCTTCCTACGTGGGTCGCAAAGCAACAGGGAGAAAAAAGCTTTCCAATAATGGCCGGCTTGGCTGTGCCCCTCCAGATGTTGCTGAACTCCAGCTCCCATCAGCCCCAGCTAGCATGACCAACAGTAAAGGATGTTGTGATTTAGAGTCCCGACAACATTCGGAAGGGCACAGGTTCCCACTGCTTAGGGACTCTAACCCCCATAAACCCCGCTCAGCATGGTCAAGAGTTAGGGATGATGGCAGTTGTAGTCCAGAAACATCTGGAGGGCTTCAGATTCCTCATCCCTCATGTAAAGGCTGGATTATTCAGAGAACTGTATTTCCAAATAGGTGGGGGTGTTTTCAATTCAAACATGGGGGGTTGATCCAGATGACCCTTCCTATTTTACAGTTCTTTAATTCTATGAAAGAAAGGTAGTTCTGGATAAGGACAACTGAGAAAACTGAAATACGTACCCTGCACCAATTTTGCATATTTAAGACAATTCTGTGCAATTTATTCTACAAGCTGTTAAAAAAAATGCACTTTAATCACTTTGATACAGGGAAAGACACATGCAGGCCACCAGAAATTTTATTCACGTAGCCCCTCTGCCTTCTGAAATTTCATCAGGCATAGCCTACACATTTTTAACCATCACATGCACACAAGCAGCCCACGTGTCTCTTTCCTAAAATAAAAGCTGACAATTGTCATGTCCTCTGGTGCATTTACAGCGATCTGGTAGAATCTCTGTATAGATATATCCTACTGATTAAGAAACGGAATGAAGGTGTGGGTGTCTTAAAAACAAAACGTTTGCTTGGTCCCAGGAATCTGTTAGAACTGCAAGTAAGTTTCATTTTTGTGGAGGCAGCAGCTGTGGTGCTCAAGTTTCTAGTTCTCATTGATTCACGGTAGGGAAATAAAAGAGGAGAGAAGCTTAAAAGAAACATTCCTAAAAGTGCTGATGTCAGAAGGCAAATCAGAGAAATATTTATGCTATTAAATTACAAGTAAATGGTTTGTTTTAGAGGGAGAGCAACTCAACCAACGAATTTCTGAATATTTTGAGGTGACATTCAGTCTTACGCCCACCTCTACAGCAGAAAGTGCATATTTATCACAAAATGGGCTTGGAGGGAAAAAAGTGACTGTGTTTGTTCTCCTTAGTCAATCTCAACGGTGAAGACGAATAAAACCAATTCATGCTTACAGAACAAGACACATCTATTTAACTCTGTACATTTTTAGTGTTCAATTAACTTTAAGCTTATATCAGGCTTTTTCAGGGGGGTGGGGGGGTCCGGGGAGATGAAGCTTTGGCTGCAGGGTGTGTGTGGTCTTTTATAGGATGTGGGTAAGATGTCCAAGAGCAGGTGTCCCCAGCACACTTAGGGAAAAGCAGCCCAATTCATCAGTGCTTTCTAATCTAATCCTAAGGGACACACTTTTAGACACAGCTTGCCATTCCACCTCCCCGAAGGTTCGCTTTTAGGATGTGAAAGAGCGCGGATCACCTCAGTGATCAAGGAATGTACATACAGAAGGTACCAGGTCCTTGGGGGTTTTTCCCTCACGGAACACAGTTTGGGAATGGGCTGTGCTGATCCAACTTTTGGAATAGCAACAGAGTGCATGCGGACAGCTTGGGAAACAGGAGAATGCTATTGGGGAGGGTATGTTTTAAAGTGGGCTACAACAGAAACGGTCCCTATGCCTTTTTTTTTTTAAGGCCCCCAAAATGCAGCTTTCCTCCTCGCAATCCAGTTTTCAACGAAGGAAGTCTCAACAGTACACAACTGGCTTGGTGAAAACAGTAGTGTTGTTTCACCAGTTCTACAAAATAAACTCAAAAGACGGAGGGTAAAAAACAATTCCCATGCCACAATCAGCAAGTTAATCAAATTAACGAAGGGTGGGGAACCTGTGGCCCTCCAAATGTTACTGGACCACAATGTCCATCAACCCTGCCCCTTATCAATACTGCCTCGGGCTGATAAGGAGTTGGAATCTAATGACATTGGAGGGCCATGCTACCAGGAGCCCACTGCACCGACCTAGCCAAAGAGGCTCCCTGTCGCCTCTCTGCGCGATTTACCAGACACACCTCTCCAGTCAGTCATTCAAATCACAGCCAGTGCAGATCTTCCTATGCCTGCCTTCTGAGGAGTCTGTCCACTGTGTGCGTCTGCAAGAGATGCTGTTCTGTGCCTGCTTCTAAGCAGGAGCTGTGCTCAGAACACAGACTCACCCAGGGACATAAGATTTACCTTAAAAAGTAAAACCGGTTTGGGTGTAAGAATGAAGCGAGACTCCCAGAATTTAATTTGGGAAAGAAGTGTCCCATCAGCTTTCAGGAGTTTAAGAAACGCTGGGGAAATTTTTATTTTTTTTACACTTGAACGCTAAATGAGCCTCTCTGGTGCTACTTATGTACACATATGAATAATGCCACTGAGGAAGAGAAAATGGAGCGCTCTTAAAAAAAAATTAAAAAAACCCAAATGTACAGTAAAACCGATGGGGGTGTCTTTACATTTTTTGAGGGGGGGGGAATGCTTTTAGCATCATGTCAGAGCACAGACTCACTTTTCACCAGCCACCCTTCCCTTCGTCATGCCTTCTAAAGCCACTGATCCAGCTCCCCGCCCTATCCCCAAGGAATATTTGAATGCAGAGGGAGGCAAACCTTGTCGCTGTCGCGTCCGTTGGCTCCCTCCCCATTCCGTTAAGTTGCGAGTCCTCAGGGGGAAAGGGACAAAGAAAAATGAAGAAAACACACACACACACAACCTGACAAGATAATTTGTGTTTGCAAGTCTCTGGTGAAAGATCCGTTCTGCGTTCTCCTCCCTCGTCGACGTCTTCAAGCCTTGACCACGGAAGCGCTTTGGAACCCCTCATCCCGCAACCCCATCACTGCCGGCCGTTGTTCTCTGAAGGCTGGCTGGGCGTTCTGCTCTCTGTCTGGGAAGACGTGCCTTCGAACCGCTGAGAGGCAATGGCAGCTTGGTGGGACATGCTCTTTCTCACAATGTCACCTTTGCGCCATAACACCACCTCCTGCTCCCGCAAAAGGAGAGATGGGATTGTATTATTAATGGGCTGGTACCCCCGGTATGTGCCACGCATCAGACCAAAAGTTCTGTCTAGAACTGCAGTTTGTTAAGGGTGCCACGAGTTGTTAGAAGACCCCTCTTCTTCCCAGAGAGCGACAATTCCCAGAGTCCCCTGGGAAGAGGGGTTGAATTCCCTTCCTAGAGAAGCCAGACTGGATCCCTCCTTGTTGTCCTTCTGCTGGTGGGTGAACACTGTTTAATTTGGGCAGGCTTTTGGGAGCTGTTTTGTTAAGGACTTCCAAATAGTGCTGCACTGTTTTTCCTATCTGTCCTTTAATAGATCTGTTTTAATTTTATTATAGTTTAATTACTTTTTTTGAAATAGATTGCTCGCCTCTTCTTCCCTTTGGCAAATGACTGTACTGTTGAAATGGCGACAAGATCGCACTGGCCTAATTATTCTGAATGTTTGTATGTGATGCCAATAAAAGTTTGATGATGATGAGTTACTTTTTAACTATTACATGCTATATGTTTTCAGCCTTCTGTATTTTATCTGGGGAAAAGACAGGATATGAATAAATTTAATAATATAGTCAAACGACTCTTGAGAATTGTAGCTCAGTGATGGGGAGAGGGGTCTCCTAACAACTCAGCACCCTAAGCTACAGTTCTGAGGATTCTGGCAAGTGGGGAGGAGAGCAACCACCAAAATCTAAAGAGGTATGATATCATTTTAACTGCATAGTGCGGATGGGGCCTGAGTATTGTCCCTGGTGACAGGTAGCAAATCTCCAGGAGTACAATCAGGGGGCATTCCCAGCCCTACTGGAGAGGCTGGGGACTGAACCTGGGACCTTCCACACGCCAAGTACACAGTCTGCCACTGAGCTACATCCCTTCCTTGTCAAAGTCATTCACATGCATGTGTCCGTTTTCCCCGAAATACAGGCAATGGCACCGCGTGTTTAAGTGAAACCGGGCATTTTATAAACACCATCATAAAAGCCTGCATAACACCTCATTCCGTCCCTTTTGGTGACATTTTCAGGTTAGCTTAGCATGAGGCACATGTGCACAATCACACACATATAGTGGTACCTCTGGTTAAGAACTTAATTCGTTCTGGAGGTCCGTTCTTAATCTGAAACTGTTCTTAACCCGAGGTACCACTTTAGCTAATGGAGCCTCCTGCTGCCGCTGCACGATTTCTGTTCTCATCATGAAGCAAAGTACTTAACCCGAGGTACTATTTCTGGGTTAGCGGAGTCTGTAACCTGAAGCATTTTTAACCTGAAGTGTCTGTAACCTGAGGTACCACTGTATTGGATGTGCCTAAAATGGATCCAGGCAACAGTATCACAAAAGGTATCACTGTAGGGTGTGTGTGTGTGTGTGTGTGTGTGTGTGCGAGAGAGAGAGAGAGAGAGAGAGAGAGAGACTCAGTTCTTGGCCTAAACCGGGGCTGGAGAATTCATGAACTCCCATCAGCCCCCACCAGCATAGCCAAAGGTCAGGGACTGATAAATTGCAATCTGGAAACATCTGGAGGGTTACCGTTTCCACATCTCCTAACTATGCAGCAAAGGGGAGAAGAAGGCCCCACTGTCTGTGTCGAACTTCCCATAGCAGGCCTGCCCGCTTGGGGCCTCAGGCAGCTGTCCCGGTAGGGCCCCACGCCACCTCACCTGCTGTTTAAAATAGCGCCGCTCCTCCTCGTCAATCAGCACAAGGTTGAGATAGTAGCGCACCGAGAACTTCTTATTGATGTCCCTCATGGTCGGCGTCAGTTCGTAGCCAGCGAGGAAGAGCCTGATGGGGATGGACTCCCCTGCAAAGGAGGCCAAAAAAAGCAAAACAAATTTTCCAAGCTGGAACACACTTATAACAGCAAAGCGTAAGATGAACAGAACTTCCCACTGGTTTTGTTTTCGTGTTTCCACTGGAGCAAGAGAAATGGTGCAACGAATAGGTGGACTGGGCAGGGATACAGTACCTGCAGCCTTTGAGGCATTGCTGGGCTACAATGCCCATCAGCCCCAGCCAGCAGGGCTAATGGTGAGCGATGACAGGAACAGTATCCAGGAACATCTGGAAGCCACGCCTAGTGTTGGGTTCAGAGCAAGGAGACCAGAGTTCCGGTCCTTGTTCAGCTACCAAGGCCAAAGTGTGGAATTGAGGGGCTGTTACCCGTTTCGATCTGTACAGATTCCCCAAATCCCCGTTTTGATATGCTCTTATAGCACAGTTTTAATGCTGCATTTTTGTGTTCTTGTGATGCTTTAAGTAAATAAATGTGCAAAAAAAGTGGGTGGGGGAAGAGGAATTTAAGAGTGTGTTGTGAAGAGGGGCTGCAGCTCAGTGGTACAACTCATGCCTTTTTTGGCATGAGATGCCAGGTTAATCGCCTGAAACCCTCAGCTGAGAATGACCTTTAGTACAGGGATGATGCACTAACAAATGTTGCTGGGACTACAACTCCTGTCATTCCTCACCATCGGCTACGCTGGCTGGGAGCAAAATATCCGGAAGCCACCAGGTTGGGGGGGATGGCTGCCTTGGGGGCATCCTTCCAAGGAATCCCTCCTTACCTCTGACAGGTGCCCCATCCATGATCTCATATTTAGCTATTGTATCGTTTTCATGGTAAACATTAGGGCCGGTCCCCGTGGTCTCCCTCTTGATGATGTCGATCTCCATGTGCTTGATCTTGATCCGCACTAGGAGGAAGTAGATCTTCCCAACGATCACGTCTTTTAAATGGTACCTGGGGAGAGCCAGAAATCAGCAGAGGAAGTACAGTCATACCTCGTTACGTTTGCTTCATGTTACGTTTTTTCAGGTTGTGTCCCGCGGCGACCCGGAAGTACCAGAAAGGGTTACTCCGGGTTTCACCGCTTGTGCATGCGCAGAAGCGCTAAATCGTGCTTCGTGCATGCGCAGATACGGCGCTTCAAGTTGTGGGCTTTTCATGTTGCGAACAGGCCTCCAGAATGGATGCCGGTCGCAACCAGAGGTACCACTGTAGACTCAACAAATCGGTAACAACCTTTAAACAACAAAATAGAATGGCAGGTCCCCCCAGATGTTGGGACTCTAGGGCCAGGTGATATATTGTCCAAAACTGGTTTCAAGTCCATATTATGCTGTTGCAGGCATCCCCAAACTCGGCCCTCCAGATGTTTTGGGACTACAACTCCCATCATCCCTAGATAACAGGACCAGTGGTCAGGGATGATGGGAATTGTAGTCCCAAAACATCTGGAGGGCCGAGTTTGAGGATACCAGTGCTACTGGTTTCATAAGTTTTGACCTGGCAATATATTGGGACTCAAGATGTATGTTTGTGTGCTATGCAAAAAATCACAATGTGGGGAAAACTGTGAAGTCAGCCAATGCCTCTATATAGCTCCATCCTTATTTCAGACATTGTTATATAATAGCAAGCATATCACGGTGTTTAGCTGGTGATACATTGTGAGGTTGAAAACCAGCTCCATCCTTATTTCAGACGTTGTGATGTATCACTATATCGCAATGCTTAGCTGGCACTATATCACAAAGTTGAAAACTAGATAACACCCAGCCATACTGTCCGTCTCTACATAGCTCCATTGTTATTTAAAGGTAAAGGTACCCCTGCCCGTACGGGCCAGTCTTGACAGACTCTAGGGTTGTGCGCCCATCTCACTCTATAGGCCGGGGGCCAGCGCTGTCCGCAGACACTTCCGGGTCACGTGGCCAGCGTGACATCGCTGCTCTGGCGAGCCAGAGCCGCACACGGAAACGCCGTTTACCTTCCCGCTAGAAAGCGGTCCCTATTTATCTACTTGCACCCGGGGGTGCTTCCGAACTGCTAGGTTGGCAGGCGCTGGGACCGAGCGACGGGAGCGCACCCCGCCGACCTTTCGATCGGCAAGCCCTAGGCACTGAGGCTTTTACCCACAGCGCCACCCGTGTCCCATTGTTATTTAGCTGATGACATATTGCAGTGTTGGAAACCAGATATCGCCCAGCCCTGTTGGACTTCTGTCTCTCGTAAGTTTCCAGCCAGGTCAAGGACAGATGTGGGGAACACTTGTCCCTCCAGATGTTGCTGGTCTACAAACCCAAAACCGGTCTACACTGATTGGCAATGGCTTTCCAAGGTTTCCAAGACCTACCAGGACATCCAAGGGATTGAACCTGCGACCTTCTGCATGGATACTACCACCAAGCTATTGCCATTCTTTAAGGAAAGTGTGGGGGACCTTGGGCTCTCCCAATGTTGCTGAGCCCATCGAGCATGGCCAAGGTTGATGGGAGTGGTCACTCAGCAACCTCCTGAGGGCCTAAGGTTTTCCCCTGCACCTCTTTTAAGGGACTGCCTGCCACTCAACCAAGAAGACCATCCATGGGAGAAGAAGAGCACAAGGACGAAGTCACAATCTCCAAGGGACGTCTCCCTAATCACCTGGCTACATCCCCGTATAAAAACCTCAAATACCCAACTCATTCAGTAGGAAGCCTTTGTGGAACAACTTACTTGGATTTATTGTACTCAAACTCAATATGTAGGCAATCTTCAATGCCCACCTCCATCTTGATGGAGGAATTAAGTTCTGGGTACGTGCTAAGCGTGTGTACAACAATGTCCATCTCCTTCACCACGTCGTTCAGTCTGCGACTCACAGTGGCCCGGAGGAAGTACCTGCAAAAAAGAAAGAGACAATTGTGGTAGCAAGTCTTTCAACAGCCTGAGGATTCATGTCTATTAAGCATCTGTAACAGATACTTAAATGCACCTTTCTTTTTGTTTTGGATGCTAGGATTTTTTATAACTGCATTCAGATTTTCCAGTTGCTTGATCTTACTGACAATAAGTGGCCTTGGATAGAAAGGTGGGATATGAATGCTTTAAAGAAAGAAAATGCAATTTCTCTCTCTCTCTCTCTCTCTCTCTCACACACACACACACACACACACACACACACACACACCGCCTTCAGCCAAAAAGGCTCCCATAGCAGCTTATACACTAATCAGTCCCACAACCCTATGGAGAAAATCACAGTGGAGTGGGTGCAGTTCTGTCATGCAAAGGGAAATCCTTGCATGAATGGGACAACTTGGAAATAGCTGGAGGTTTCAGTGGACTAAACAATTTTTAAAAATAATTGGTTTGGTTCTATATACCAAAATACATACAAACTCTGGAAGACTGTGGTCAAATACAGCTAGCATTCATGAGTTACGATCATACTGTAAGTCATCCCAGGCTTAGCTAGATCACCCCCCTCTCCTTGGGAGGAAGGGGTTGGCAAAGCCTTTGCCACGACCCCTCACCATGGAAGGAAGGAAGGAAGTCAAATTCCCTCCTTTGTCTGTTCTCTTTTCCATGATGTAACCAGTGAGGAAGAATATCTGGGGAAGCAATGCAGGACTGAGACCTTGAATCTGTAAGTAAAGCATTTAAATTTACTTAACAGCGTGTGGTTTGCTCATTGTAAGAGGGGTAGAAAAAGGCCAGCTGCTGTGTGCAGCTGAATGGGATAAAAAATGTTTAACAACCTATATTCCTAATGCTATAGTGCTGTTTATTTTTGTGAGTAAGACTCTGCTACTGGAACTCTTCATGTGCAAGTCTGTGTTCTGAATCCAGGCACTGAGACATTTCTCTTTTTTTGTTTACCCACACGTGTTAAGTCCACAGAGATTCATATTTTTAATTCCACCACAGTAACTTTATTCCAGACAACCAAAGCCTTGATCTCCCCAATCTGACAGCTCCAGATGTTCTGGATTCCAACTCCCACCAGTCCCAGCCAGTGAAGCTGTGGGGAGCTGTATTCCAAAACACCTGCCAGGCACCAGGTTGAAGGAGGTCAATTTCTTAGTGGCATCTTAGTGGATTTGCTGCTGAGAAAACTGGGAAAGGCTGGAGGAGCGGAGATGGAGCTCACCTCAGCTTCACGTTCTGCCCCGTGTAGGATTCGTACGGTTTCTCCACGTGTGTGAATTCAAAATCAAAGGTCTGTGACTGGGTGAACTCTCCGGGGCGGGCCAAGTCCTTCACAAGTGACACGAATTCATGGTGGTTCCCTCGGTCGTAATATAGCTCTAGAAGTGAAAGATTCTTGGTGAAGCAAGGCTATTTGTGGCCTCATTCTAGAAGCCTCCAGGTGAAGTGCAAGAAAATAGGAAAGGAACATTAAGGCAGAAGGTAGCCCTGCATCAACTGGTAGATCTCTGAGTGACTGGCAGTAGATTAGCAAGGATTTATGGCTCCCAATTGTTTAACAATAGAAGCAATAAAACGAATCCTTCTTGCCGTAAATTATGCTGCTGCTGAAGAAGAAAGAAGCAGCCTGAGCTAACCAACGGCAGATTTTTGTGTGTTAAGCCGGTGAGCTCTGTTATTTTCTGGTACCCAAAATAAATTACTGAGGTCAGAATTCTTTAGCTCTAGGCGCAAGGCTTTTTTGGCCAAGCACTGGTTGGTGGATCTAGGGGTTCCAGTAAAAAGTAGAAGCCTGAAGTCAGCCCACCCCTGCAGTAAAGTATATCAAAGCACCAGCAAAAAAAAGCTAACTATTTAAATGGATGCAGCTAATCAACAAGAAAAAATAAGTATCAACGCAGGCCCAATCACATAGAGATCAAAACCTTAAGACTAATAACCTTCACATTAAAAAGAGGCTGAAATCTGAGATGCTAAAATAATCTCTAAAAGTTGTTTTAGAAGTCCTGGAAGAATCTATTTCCTTGGTGCTGAAAAAACATTAGGTGCCAGGTGAGTCTATACAAATAGTGTTCCATAAATTGAGAAGGACCCTGAAAAGACCCTCTCTCTTATTGCCACTGTCTGTGCTTCAGAAATGAGGAGGGCACCAGCAGATTATTTTAGGGCCCAGGAAGATCCACAAGGAAAAAGCAGTTCCAAAAGCCAATAGGTTCTCAAGTTGTTTAGGGCTTTCACCTGCAGTAGACACCTGAATTGTCATGACAGCCCTCCCTCAAGCAGTGATGCGGACAAAATCTTCTGGCATGGAATTTTTAAAGAAAACTTTCCAAAGCAATATTTTTCTTATGCCAAGCTTACCAGTTTTAGAAACATGTTGTTTCATAAAAAAATCAATTAGTAGCGCGATGAATAACTACAATACAAGTCAAATTGGATACAGCAACTAGTCAAATCTAAATTCAAAGCTGCAATTAACCTTTTAAAACGTCTTCTCCCTGAGATTTATGCACACAACTATTCCAGCACATGAAAATAAAAATGTTACGCAGTTTTCAGTGCCTTCACTTTATTTCTTAAAATTGAAGTAACAGGCGACGTGTATGCTATTTTGTTGTCAAGTCTTGAAATGTTTGCAAGCGTTCCAATAAAAGTAATTTTCAAGTAATACTCTGAATTGTTTGCATACATTTAAACCACACAAAGCACAATTTATTGAACTTGCTTTTCCTAATCAAATTGTTTCAGTTCAACTACTCTTAGCTGTTGCAAAAACTTTTCAGATGTTTACTGAGGATGTAAAATTAACACATCGTCATTTTTTTAAAAAAGCTTTGTGTACTACAGATGTGGGGAACTACTGACCCTCCAATTCTTGCTGAACTGCAACTCCCATCACCCCTGCCCACTGACCATGCTTGCTGGGGCTGCAGTTTGGCAACATCTGGAGGGCCAAAGGTTTAAAACATCGGCTCTACTACACTCACAGGGCTATTCTACACATGCCAACTCAGAAGAAAACCCCATTGAGTTCAATGGTACTGTGCTCCCGGGAAGCGAGTGTAGGATTGCTGCCTAACAGTGTAATCCTATGCCTATTGAATTAGTCAACTCCTGCTGAAGGACCAACCAATGATGGACTAAACAGTAACTGGATTTGAAAAAGCAGGTACCAGTCTGGTGCCTTGTAAAAAGGTACGGACAGATTAATAGGAAACTGCGTTAAGCCAGGTCAGACTATTTCTCTCCCTAGTTCAGTACTGGTTGAGTGGATCCAGCAGATAAACAGCATCACCTGCTAGTCAATCAGTCTCTCTCTCTCCCTCTCCTCCCTTCCTTGAGTTACTGGGGATTGAACCTGGGACCTTTTGCTTGCAAAGCATGAGCCACTGACCTGCAGTCCTTCCCCAAACAGCCACCCTCCCTTGTCATATTACTGTTGCTCCTGCCATGCCATTAATATGTCTAGATACCACACCTGGAAGGATGAATTAGAATTGAACTGAGGTCTTCTGCCATTCAGGTTCCTTCTAATAAGCAGAGGCAGGAAAAAGAGGTTGACAGAGTATAGCTGGGGAAGGCGGGAGGTTCTTCCCACAAGCCCTGGCTCAGGGAACAGTCAGAGCTGACCACATGGAACAAGGGAATCAAAATAGAAAGCCCGAATTTTTTCCCCCTCCAACGTAATAAATAGGCACTTGGGATGTCGTCCGGCTTCTCAGACTGCAAAAACGACTAGGAGGCGTGGATGCACCACACAGAGAGAACCGAAAGCGGGTACAGAATTACATTTCATGTAATCTGGAAAGCCAGGCAAAGGAGCCGGCCGACAACGAATTCACGAAGCCTAATGAGTTTGCCAGAAATCAACCTCAATTTGCTACTCCATTCACTTAGATCAGTTTTGGAGACTGCAGGGGGAGGTGAGAAGGGGCTGGGGGAACACTGAACACGCAGCGGATCCTTCACACAACCACAGCCGACCCCTGTCTCTTCAACATGCCAGTTTGGTGTTCCAAACGCTCCCGGATATTTGGGATTCTCAAGTTTATTTTTCCTGCATGCGCAGATTTTGTGACGCAAGTGTTGCCCACAGAGTGCAACGTTAAGAATGTCTATGCCAAGTACATGTATTCAGTTTGGGTTTCCTTGCACTGACAAGGAGGTGGGCCAGGGTATACCGTATTTTTCGCTCTATAGGATGCACCCCACCAGAGGATGCACCTTGTTTTACAGGGGGAGAACAAGAAAAAAAATTCTCCCCCTCTCTGCGCAGCGCCCCTTCAGCGAAGCGGCAGGAGAAACAGAGCCCCTTCCATTTCTCCTCCCGCTTAGCTGAAGGGGTGCTGTGCCTTGGCTGAAGGGGCATTTACCATTCAGCGAAAGGAACCCAAAGCCTCCGGAGCGCAGCGGGAGCTCCTGCCGCGCTCCGGAGGCTTCAGGCGGCGTATCTGGAGAGCGAGAAGGGTCAGTGCGCACTGACCCCTCTCGCTCACCAGGCTTCAGCGAAAGCCACGCAAAGCCTCCAGAGCATGGCAGGAGCGCTCCCACTGCGCTTCGGAGGCTTCGCGTTGCTATCGCTGAAGCCAAGGACCCTGCATTCGCTCCATATGACGCACACACATTTCCCCTTAATTTTTGGAGGGGAAAATGTGCGTCTTATAGAGTGAAAAATACGGTACACTTTCTCGACACCTGCATCACAATCAAATGTGATGCCTGTGGCCATTTCCAGGTCAACATTGTTAGGTGCCTGGGTTGTGCTGGTAAAGAACCATGTGGGTTCATATATGAAAGCAGGGCTTTTTCTCAGCTGGAAATTGATGGAATAGCACTGTATTAAAGGGTAACATGAGCATCAACCTGAACGGCAAAGGATGCGTGGGCAGGCGATCAAATCCCAGATAGGAAAATAAGGGATAAGAAAAAGCAGATTAACTGCAACTTACATTTTAGAGGGAGCCTAGATTCAGGGTCAGCAGTTTCCAGGGAGCTGTGACTATCATGAAGGAACCCTGCACTTCTGAATTTACCACACTACTGCTAATAACTTAAGGTGCCTAAAGAGATTGTTGTTAACAGTTGGCCTTGTCATAAAACACTGGCTACTACTTATATGTGCATGCATGCTCAGTTTAAGTGTAGACTTGTTGTGCCCACCTATCATCACGCTTATACAGTTTTTGAGCCCGTGAGCGCAAGAGACCTCTGCCGCGGTTGCTCCCCAATGACTGGTATTCAGACAGGCAGCTTGCATCCACCCACTGATCAGCCGTTGCGCAAATAAATGATAGTCAGGTAACCTTTTCTACCATTATTGGCAGAGGAAAACATCAGTATTCTCAGAAGAAAACCCCAAGTTCACTGAGAACAAAAAACTAAAGCAGGCTGTAGCTCAGCCGTAAAGCATTTGCCTGGCATACCCAATAAGGTCCTAGGTTGAATCCTGGCACCTCCAGTTAAAAGGAGCAAGTAGCAGGAACATAAAACTAACCTGCTGAATCAGCCCAATAGCTCCTCTAGTCCAGCATCCTGCCCGCACAGTGGCTAATCAGATGTCCATGGGAAGCCTGAAAGCTGGACGTTGAGTGCAACAGTACTCTGCCCACATGCAATTCCCAGCAACTGGTTTTCAAAGGAATTATGTCTCTGACAATGGAGGCAGAATACAGCCATCCTGGCTAGCAGCTGCCAACAGCCTTTTACTCCATGAAGCTGCCTAATCCTCTTTCAAAGCCATCCAGGTTGGTGGCCATCACTGCCTGCTATGGGACAGGAAGGACTTTGCCTGGGATGCTGGAAAAGCAGTAACCTATTGGAGCGGACAATACAAGTCAGGACAGACCCAATGGTTAGATTCATTAGAGGGCCATGGCTCAGGGGCAAAGCATCTACCTTGCAAGCAGAAGGTCCCCAGTTCAATCTCCAGGTGGGGCTGGGACCGGGAGAGACCCCTGCCTGTAACCCTGGAGGGCCACCGTCAGCTGGAGAATGCTGAGTCAGATGGACCCAGTGGTCTGACTCAGCACGAGGCTGCTTCTTAGGCTCCCACCTGAGGGCTGTCAATGGCTGTGAGTCACAGCAGCCAGAAACACCAACTTTCTCTTTGTCTCTCTTTTTAAAGAGACAGTACAATGCAAGAAACAGATGCTGGAAATCAGCAACATGGATGGATATGGTCCACCTGCCCCTGCCTGCTACCCTCCCCATCTACCTTGGTCAACACCACTGGAAGGATTGCAAACCACAGAGAGCACAGGTTTTCCAGGTTCGGACAAGGCAACACTAAGCCAAAGATTAGGGAACTCCCAAGAGTTGTTGGACTCTCATTCCCATCAGCTCTGGCCAGGATGGAAAATGGCCAGGGATGATGGGGAGTTGCAGCCCAGCAACATCTGGAGGGCCACAGGCTCTTCACCCTCCAACTAGACTAAATCAATGGCTGTGTTCAAAAGTAGCAATAAGAAAAATGGGAGGGGACTCCCTTGGCAATTCAGAAACACCTTCGCTTGCTTACAACATGGTGGAGCTGGATTTGACAAGGAGATGTGCCTATTATCATCACATCTTAAGAACCCAGAGCCTGTATGGTCTATCTATTAAAACAGTTCCCTTTCCCAACTATTCTTCTCCTTCAGCATATGGTATAAAGAGACATATATGCTAGTTAGGTCTGTGAGATTCTGTTCATTAGGCCTCCCTCTCTCTCTTTTTCCTTTATACTAAGGGGTATACTGCTTTGATACATAGTTTCTATTCATCCATCTTGCCTAATAGCTCTAAGTAGACCTATCCAGCATGAAAATCAGCCCACTCTTCTTACCAAGAGGTATACTGACTCAGAAGAGCACAAAGAGTGCCTTACGGGATCAGGCCAATGGCCTACTGCATGCCTATGGGAAGCCCAGAAGCAGGACCTGAATGCAACAGCATGATTCCTACCAACTAATATTCAGAGGATACTGCCTCTGACAGTGGAGGTACAACACGGCCATCATGGCTAGTTGCCACAGGTAGCCCTACCGTTCATGAATGTGTCTTCAGACCATACACGGAAAATGTGGTGATGCTGCCAGACATCCTACACAAATCTTTTTCAACAGCCCAGTGGATTCTGAATAACACATTCAGAGGAAATTGATTTGAATTGCAGGCGGGGACCAGTACAGGCGCGTCCAATTGACACATGAAGGGAGTTCCCTGTACTGGGTAGAATATAAAATTTGGGGAGCTAAACGAAGATGACTTTATGTGAAGGTGATACAGGGTGGATAATGAATAGGGGCAACTGAACTAGAATTAAACTGATTTGGAGCAGAACCCATTGGGAAAATTAACTGGGGGCAGATGACTAGAAAAGGAGTTGATTTGGGGTGATCTGCAGGTGCGTGCGCACATATTAATTGAAGAATTTATCTGGGGTTATCTGGATGGGGAATTACATTAGCTTGCCTTTTGTGACATCTTTGTGCATCTATGCATATAAACTACTCCCAGCAAATTGTTTTTACCAACCCAGACCCTGAGTCTTTTACATACTCAGCACCATCCCTGCTGTCAGAGTCAGGGGCAGACATCCACTTGTTCAAGACGTGACTACATAGGAACATAAAAAGAGCCTGCTGGATCAGGCCAATGACCCATCTAATCCAGCATCCTGTTCTCACAGCGGCCAAGTAGATGCCTGTGGAACACCCAGCAAACAGAATTTGAGCACAGCACTCTCCCTTCCTGTGGCTTTCAGCAACTGGTATTTAGAAGCATCTCTGCCTTTGACTGTGGAGGCTTATTGCTATCTAAAAAGCCACTCTTTCTTCCCTCCCCACCCAAAGACCAATAAATCCAAAGTCCAAGGCCACATTCTGACCATATATTTAAATTCCTATGACACCACTTTGAATAGCCATGGGTTCCCCCAAGGAATGCTGGGAGCTGTAGTTTGTTAAGGGTCCTGAGAGCCGTTGGAAGGCCCCTATCCCACTCACAGAGGTACAATTCCCAGAGTGGTTTCCCACCACTCCTTCCCAGGGGACTCTTAAGAACAGTGGCTCTGTGAGGTCTCCTAACAACTCTCAGAAGCCTTAAACTACAGTTCCCAGAATTCTACTGGGGGGGGGGAACCATGACTGTTTTGGTATCATAGTGTTTTAAATGTATGGTGTGAATGTGGCCCCAAATAATCCAACTGCACCAACTGATGGAGGTTTAGTTTTGCCACCATGGATGGCAAGTACCGACCGAACTTACCGATCTGCCCAATGAACTCCACCTTGATGCCCTGGTGCTCCAGCCGTTTGTTTGGGTGCTTGAGGGTGAGGATGACCCTCCCCGAAACCGTCTCACCGTCATAAAAGAGGAAATATTTCTCCTTCTTGCCCTCCTCTGTCTTATGCTCTGCCCGGCGCCTGCTCTCTGCGTCGCTCAGGACCAATTCCAGATCCGCACTCTGTCCGAACCCAAAGAAGCTCATGGCGATGTTGGGGAAGGGATGCAGCACCTCAGAGGGCTAAGGCGGTGCCGAGCAGCACAGAACGGGGCAAGCTGCACCTTGGGGTGGCTGTGCAAGCCTTGTTCTCCAGGCGGGAGTTTTCACCGATGCTGTGAAGGAGGAGCAACCTTGCCAGCCCACGATGCAATCTCGGCTTGCCTGGCTAAAAAACAGTTACCAAAGTAAGAAAAGGAAACCACAGGATCCTGGTGCATAAGGAAACCTGGGTGTGCTGGGGCAGGACTAAGGCTCTGTTGGGCAAAGGGGCTCAGAGTAAAAGGAGGACTATTTGGTGGGGGTGATGGAAGGAAGGGGGTAGGCAGGTACTGTTTGGACCCAATAAGAAGAATGATAACTGATGCTCTGCAAGCTACAGCTCCGAAGGCTTGGAAAGGCTAGACCCGAGAACTGGCAGGGATCAAGGCAGCCCCAGGTTGGGGGCGCTGCTCTCTCTCTCTCACCTTCGGGCGCCAATGCAAGGAAGGTGGGCGTAAAAGGAGGAGAAGCGGGAAGGGGCGTTCACAGCTGGAGACGGAACGCAACGTTGCAAGCCGTGGGGGACATGGTTGGTGGTAACGGGGAAAGGGGGAGCAGCAGCTTCGGCAGGGAATGGGGAGAAGCATGCACGGAGGACTCTGCTGCTGGGGAAGGGGGAGCGGGCGGAGGGGGTAGGCGTGTGCAATCTACGGGCCCACTTCGCTGGGGTTTTTAAATAATAACTAAAAATAAATAAATCAATAAATAAGAGAGGTGGAATGGGGGGGAGGGGTTGGAAAACCGGCGGAGGCGTTGCTCCCTGGAAGGAAAGGAAAAGGTGGCGGAGGGAGGTTGCTGCAGGAAGGCCCGAGGCTCCGGAGAGCAATGCCGTGCAGCGAAATGCAACGCAGCACCGGAGCATTCACTGCACAGCCGGGCCTTTGCAAAAAAATAAAATAAAGGAAGAAGGATGACAGCCGCCGCCGCTCCGATGATGCGCTGCCTCTTCCCCGCCTTCGCCTGGGCTGCGCTGGCTGCTGGCTGCGGAGCTCGCGCCGCGTCCCGGACCAGGGGCCTCGTACTGCGCACGCGCCCTTCCCGTTCCTGGGCAAAGGGGAGGAGGGGGAGCCGAGGAGGGGAAGGCCCGCCTCTCCGTCCCTCCACCCCAGCGCGCTCACGGGACGCATGCGCCGTCCTCCTCCTTCCGAGGTGCGCGCGGAGGCGGGGTCCGCGGCCCTTGGTGCGCCGGCGCAGTGCGAGAGGCCAGCGCCCGCCCCACTCCCTCGCGCCTCGGGGCGGCGGTGATTGGCTAACGGGGAGGGCAGGCGGTGATTGGACGGTTCGAAGGCAGCGGCGGGGGTTTAGGCTGGAGTCGCTTCGACGGAAGCGGCAGAAGCGATGGCGGCGGAGAGGCTACTCTGCGCTTTGGAGCGGTGGGGCCTCCGTGATGTTAGCCAGGGTGAGTGCGGCGGGGTTGGGATAGCGACCTCGAGCCCTTCATTGGTTGTGAGAGAGAGGCAGGACCCCTGGGTCCTTTCTATATACAGTAAACATATATAAGGGACCCCTCAAACCTCGCCCTCCAACACGGTTTAACTTTTTAACGCCGGCAGAAAACCTTTCTACTCTGCCGCGCCTATGCAGCCAATTAAGAGCACATATTTCTACAATGGTTAATCTATACCTATTGTTAACTTGTTTTATGTGGTTTTTACTCTCTGGTTTCATGTATTTTTGTAAGCTGCTTGGACTCTCTTTTTTAATGGTTTTTTTTAAATAATAAATATAGACATACAAAGGGTGAGAGGCAGGACTTCTGGGACCTTTTTGTATGCACAGACACACACATATGTGGACTGTGGCAGAGGGGGAGAATCTGCTGTCGAACTCTCCGTCACAACCTTGGATTCCAGTAGAAATCAGGCATAGCTGTCTCCTAGCCGCCCAGCCTGACAGCTTCTAGTGCACATAACTCAACTTTCAAGTCTGGCTTTTGTTTTTGTAGCTACCTGTGAGTTGATGGAGGGCCACCCACCCATTTGGTGTCTGGCACGGTTTTGTTGAATGGTCACTTTAAAATGTGAAGGTTCATTATTGTTTCGCAAGTTGTGTATGTCTTTCAGGGCCAGGGCAAATAACGAGACCCAGTCTTACAGCTGTGAAACATAGCAGGTGCTGCTGAGTTGTGTTAATCAAGCTGTGTCAGCAATTGAGTGTAGTATATAAGGGGCAGCACCTAGCTCTCCCATTACCCTGGGGGATGGGTTGGTGGTTGAGTCATGTTTGTTGTTGTTATCTTTAGTGTAAAAGGAGTTTTTGTTTTCTTATTAAAACCTTGTTAAAGTTATTTTTGAGTTCCTTGTATTGCATGGTCTCCCCAGCAAACTCTCTGCAGCGCTACTAAACTGCAATTAGCCAACAGGTTTACCATACCCATTGAGTCAATCACCCATCCTGAGAAAAACCCCACCCCACCTTCCCACTATGTACTGTATAAGGGTCTGATGACTTTTGTTTCAGTGTATCTGAAGAAGTGTGCATGTACATGAAAGCTTATACTTAGTTGGTCTCTAAGGTGCTACTGGACTATATCTATCAACTGCCTCAGGCCAACACTGCTACCTACCTGAGCCTCTTCCTTTGTTACCTTAATGGCCCATACTTAAAGCTAACCTTGCTGTTTCAGGAATTGAATCTGTGCTGAATCCAGGAATTGGAAGGGGCCTTGTGCATACAACCTACCCTCACCAAAATCACATCATTGGTGTGTGTGTGTGCATGCAAAAATGTATTCATATACTCAGAGTTTTGTGTGTATCTTCAGTAACTTGCCCTGAGACCTTAGGGTGAAGGGTGGGTAATAAATCATGATGGTGGTGATGATGATGATGATGATAATTCAAACCTTCACAGACAATTAGTGACAGTTATACATAAACCACCACCAATCCTGGATCTCCCTCAAAAGATTTAAGAATTGATGCATATTTGATCTTTACTGGTAAAATGCAACATCACACCTTCACTGAATGTACACTTTATCAAGATTTAGATGAGTATAACAATTACATACAGATACTTGGTGTCACTGACAGTGTCCATTTGTATAAAATGCTTGGAACCATTAACCATGTAAAAAACTCTTTATTAGAGTGCAATTAGATATTGATGCACAGCTACTAAAGCAGTATATATTATTTCTGAAAATGCAGAGGCATACAGAAGAGGTTTTAGTGATCAGCAGTGGAAAGTACCCTATTGTATGGCATGCAAACTCATTCCCGGATGAAGGAGTAGCAGGTCAAAGTCCCAAGACAAAGATATTTTAGGTTACAGTACATGTAATTCTAGTTCAGTTGCCATTTCTGTCAGGCCCTCTGAACACTGCCTGCAAATCCAGCAGTAAATAGAAATGTTGTCATTCTAAGTGGTAATTAGAAGAGCTATTTGTTTGCTTCCTCCTTTTCCCTCCCCATCCCTTTTTCCTTTTGTGTCATCTCTTTTTGATCGTAAGTCTGTGGGCAGGAACTGTCTTGTTTTGACTGCATGTAAGCCACTGAGAATACAGTTGCCTGAAGACAGAAAAAATCTTCTAAATTTCTTTTAAAATAGTCTTGTGTCATTACTGCTAAGTATAAAATGGAAATTCCAAATAAAGCAAGAAAGCAAGTATGTTGTTCTAATCTAGACAATAATTGCTTGCTTCTACAGTGTAGCTTTCATTAAATCTCAAAGGGGGAAAATTTTAACGCTCCCTAGACAATCTATTCCATAACAGAAGCTTGGAATTGTTTTTGCTCTGTTAACAGCAAGAGGTATGTGAACTACAGAACTCTACCTCTGCTCTGATTAAGGAATTTTTGGTGTGATTTGACCTGTTTCAATTGCAGTGGAGTGTTGATGTGTCATTGTGTTTCTCTGCAGATGTCTTGACAACCACCCAACAAGCATAAGGACCTCATTTCTGTTTCTGTAAATCAAAATCCCCTGATCTTGTCAGGGACTTTTGGATCCTCTGTAGGCTCACAGTTCTCACTGTGAAACAATAATCAGTGCAATTAGGTGATGCTAATATGGCAAATAGCTCTCAAAGGAGCAATCCTTGCTCTATTGAAGCCATCACTGAATGAAATGCAAGTTGAGCTACATCTTGAAATTACAAACTACAGTATTTTAACATTTGGGGTGGAAGCATCACATAGGGTGCCAAGTTATTCACTCTCTTAAATGCAGGTGGCTTCAACAGGCTCTAAAATATTGAAGGGAAACTGAACTGAACCTGGCCATTGGCTCCTATCCTTGTAATGAGGATGTTGAATGAATTGAAATCTTAAAAAGCATGAGGATTATTGTGCCCCAGCACTGGTAATTTTTTTAATGAAACATGTTTCGATGTTTGCCCTGGAACTGCAGAAGCTGATGTGCCATAATTAGTTTTAATAAAAGGTTCTAATTTATGCTTCAATCCCCTGTTCACCACCTCAAATAAAAAGATAATGACATAGTAATGCCTGATGTTTTATTCCTGAACCTCCCAGCAAGTCAGTTGTTTGGGGGTTTTTTCCTCCTCAGAAGGGAAATTATTTAAAAAACTTCTTTCTTGATGCCTTGCATTGTGACTATAAAAAATGCATCGCGTGAATTAATATAGGGTATTATTTTCTATTCCATTCTCCACCCTTTTGCCCATACTAATCTTTCTTTTTTCTCTTTCTTTTTGTACCAGTATGTTTGATGTTGTTTGTCTTTTGTCTCCATTTTAAAATTAATAGTGTCTTCAAAAAAAATCTAAATCTTCAGGAGCTTGTCATATTTTATGCCTATGTTCAGCTGTGTTAGAGTTTGCATGCTGTTTTGGGCTATCTGCCTTGCTTAGTTTTACACTGTTCAAGCTGTCAGGTCTTCCCCCAAAGCTTCCTTGGATTCTAGTGAAGTAATGTGATTCCATTTTATTGTGTTGTAAGATGGTCACTGCATTTTGTAATTGAGGAAAAGCTTTCTGGTCTGAAAATATCTTTATACATTTTAATAAACCATTTTTCTCCCCAGCCTGGGTTGACACAACCTGGGAGCTAGATTTCACAGAGACTGAGCCTTTGGATTCTGAACTAGAGGCTGTGATAACAAGCAATGGTTTGGATGCCTTTTCCCAACTCTACACGGCTCTCTACCCCTTCGCTGCAGATGACCACGAAACCACAGAAGTAAGAAGCATGTTTGTGATGTTAGCAAAGATTGGCTTGTTTTGTTCTAATTCACTGGTGGAGATTTTAATCCAGCATTTCCCAATTTGGTTCCCTTCAGATGTTTTGGACTGCAACTCCCAACTGCCCCAGTCAGCATGGCCCGATTGACAGGAATGATGGGAATTGTAGTCCAAAGTGTTTGCTGGGCACCAGGATGGGGATAGGTTTGCAAAAGATTGGCATTTAGAGCTCTGGCAGGATAGATAACAGTTCTTGCCTCCCTGAAGCCTGTTGCTTGACCATGTACAGCCTGATCCTTATTCAGAGTTGAGCTACACCTAAGCCCTTGGGAACCAGCAGAGTTAAACCAGCACTCCTAATTGTATAGAATTGCAACTTTCAAGCATTCCTAATTGCATAGAATCCCAGCCTTCCATGTGATCATCATCTGTAACATGCCCTATGTGATCCCCAAGGATTATAGCCATTCCATCAGGTGTGGGAGAGAGATTTTGCAGGACTTCAACTCCCATCAGCCCTAACTAGATTGCCAATGGTGAGGGATGATGATGGGAGTTGTAGTCCATCAACATTTGGAGGGCCACGGGCTCCTCACTTGGTATAAAAAGGTAAAGGTACCCCTGTCCGTACGGGCCAGTCTTGACAGACTCTAGGGTTGTGCTCCCATCTCACTCAAGAGGCCGAGGGCCAGCGCTGTCCGGAGACACTTCCGGGTCACGTGGCCAGCGTGACATCGCTGCTCTGGCGAGCCAGAGCCGCACACGGAAATGCCGTTTACCTTCCCGCTAGAAAGCGGTCCCTATTTATCTACTTGCACCTGGGGGTGCTTTCGAACTGCTAGGTTGGCAGGCGCTGGGACCGAGCAGCGGGAGCGCACCCCGCCGCGGGGATTTGAACCGCCGACCTTTCGATCAG